GGCTGAATTCTTCTTCCTCATCTTTCAGATTGTGGTACTGGTTGTTTTCTTGGTGATGGTTAACTTTTTTCTCCTTTTGCTGCTTGAAAATTAGGCAGTTTCAGCGTCGAAAATGGCCAGATGTGAAGAGACCATCATCTGCCAAGTCACTGTGAGTTGGGAGCAATTCACCAAAAGCATTAGCTTTTACTTAACTTTTCCCTTCTCTTTTTGCATGCACCACCTTTTTAACATCATCATCTATTCTCACAGAATGCTTAGGAGGAAAGTCCTCTAAATTATGCAAGAAATATGATACTGCCATCATTACTGACAACTACTGCTGCAGAAAACCTCTTGGTACATGGGTTTTGAGAATCTTGCAGCATTAAAGTCAAGGCAATTTCAAACAAGTAAAGGTAGATGCTCAGTTAAGAAACCAGTTATGGTCAACTGCCAATAAAAATGAAAGACAAGGACATTGGTTTTGTCTAAACTTAAACTAGTAGCAGCTATCTAGTGGTTTTTCACACAATCCAGAAAGAACAAAACTGACTGCAATTTCTCACAAGTAGTGAGGCAGTATCATGTATTTTCTTGCTATTTATCCAGCTACAGCCTTTGTGCTGTGAGCAGGAAAAGGAATTTAAAACAGAAAGTAGACTACAAGACAGATTTCTATCTACAACTGCTTTTTTCTTACTGAGCTGCCTTTTAAAATGTGGTGATGATCTGGCAGTTCTCAAACTGCCAGAACTCAAAAGGTGAGGTACAAATTTAAGTTTATTAAAAAGTTACAGTTGCCTGTAACTGTCTCTGAATCTCCCCTTAAAAAGAAGACAGAGACTTCAATTCATTAGCAATCATAACGTGCTCTCAAACTGTGCAGTGGAAAACACAGGTGCAAGTCCCTTCCTAGGCACCATCTGGTCTTCTTGCCCAAGAGGAGTTGCTCATACAACGCAGTGGTTTTATTTCTAATTGAAGAGATCTAAGACTGGCTTTAGAACCAAAATGAAGGTTGAATTAACAAGCTTTGTACAGGCTGAAGTTTCAAGTACTGTTGAATTGTTTCTGTCATATACCTCCTATGCTTTTATTGGTGGTTCATGGTGTTTCCATTGGTTTTTACTGCAAGGAACCATTAAAAATACCTTTCTTACTACATTCTACTAGAATGTTCTACACTAAACTGCATTTCTTTTATTTTAAAGAGGACAACTGTGGGAAGGCTGGGAGGGCTAATCTCCCCCAGCTGCTGCACCTCCATGAGGATACAAACAGGGCAGGACTTGAATTCATGTACAGACTAAATGAATTATAACATTCACCTGAAGGACTGGATAAACTTCGAGGCTGAAAGAGATAGAATGTTTGCACTGATGAGTGAGTTGAATAGAAGCAGTGAAATGATGGGAAATGCTGTCAGAAATACAGGTCTCTGAAATCCACTGTTGTACCTGATTTTTTGCTTTGGATTATACCTCACCTACTTCACAAGGCATTTTACTTCAAGAAGACACAACTAATGCTGATTCAGGAATTGACAAAGGCGGAAACTCAGCCACATCCCAAAGAGGACTGCCCCTGCAGTGGCAGTGTTTACACAGACAGTTGATGGAACCTTAAAACAATTTCCAGTTCACCTGTATCTTTAGCTGTCGTGAGAAAAGCTTCAAAGCCAAGTACAACTCTAAAGCAAGATTTAGAAAACAAAGGTGCTTTTGCTTAACACTGGGGTAAAGGTAATAGTTCAAGAGAACTTTGACAATATTCAGGAACTGAAGTCAGCAGCACCAAGTGTTCTCAACACCATGGAATTTCTTCAATTTCCTCTGAGGATACATTTTAGTTCCAAGTCTGCTTGTTCATTTTACTGTCACCTCTATGAAGATTAGAGAAAATCTTGACTCACAGGATGCCAGATTTTTGGAGGGATTGTGTAAATATTGATCAGTGTACTGTTTGAAAATAAATTCCTTCAGGTTGTGAAGAAATTTATTAATAAAAAAGAGTGTAACACCCACACACCATTTCTCAAAATGCTAAGTCAGAATTTACTCATTTTTAAAGGTACTGAAAATTTTCAGTAAATGTACATCTTAAATTTTAACAAAATCAGATTTGTATGAAGCTTTTTTATGTCATAATATTATACTGTACATTCAAAACCAGAACAGTTCCTTTGAGAAAGTAGTGTTTGCTTAGCAGTGTAACTTTTACATTTATTTTTTAAAAAAGACAGATCTGAAAGTTCAGTATTTGTAGTCAATAATCTAGTTATACTTTGGTCTGCAGAAAAGTAAATGTTGTGAATGACAGTTACTGTTCAAAGGTTTTCACAGGGGAAAAAAACCTATAATTTTACTAAGAAAGCACAGTGTACAGAATTATTTCAGTAGTTTCATAAGAACATTATTACATATGTTGTAGTACAGGCACTAATGGTGAGACTTGTATTTATCATTTGTTTCATATTACTTTGCTACCTGTGTTTAAGGGCAAATGCCTGAGGGCGCTCATGGGACAGACTCAACCAACTGTGGCCTTCGCTCCTAAGAGGTATTTTTTTCAAAATGCAAATTTAACTGGCCCTTGTAGAAATGCAGTGTAAAAATGCAGCATGGAAATGATTTTGAAACCCTTCCTGGCTTTGCAGTTCAGAAAATAAAGTGGAATTAGATCCAAACGTAGATCCCTGGTATCACAAGTCCATACTCAAAAAATGTACTTGAATTTAGGAATGAGAAAAAAAAAACAAACCCCAGAAAAAAGCAGAACTATAGACTTTATATATGCTAAGTAGAACTGGGCTTGAGTATTTGTATGACATGTGGTAAGTCAAATCCACTACCCAAAGCTTTCTTGCAAGCTTTTTTAAATTATGCAAGTAAAATCTGAATGTCTGTCTTAATCTAGCCATGTATTTTCATTAAACTTGTTAAAAATCTCATGGATTATCAAAAAAATCTACTAGATGATGAGATCCTGGATCTACACAAGTAAGTAAAAAAACCCCTTAATTTCCCCAAAACCCCCACATTTTTACTGTTTTCCAGAGAAAAGTTTTAGCTATCTGCCATTCCCAGTGTGCATGCAGAAAGAATATGAGGTTAGATTTAAAAAAAAAATTTGCATGCCCTTGTATATTTAACTCATAGTCTCTGGCAAGGTGACTGTTAAAATCCTGCAGGGCCAGTGTTACTGCGCCTGTTACTTACTTGTCAGTCAGAAGGTTGAAAAGTTATCTTGTCCCCTTTATAGAAAATAGTGAGCTGTGAGACTTGTATGTGACACAAGAAGCAGCTGCTATTTAATGAAATTGTTGTTGCCAAGTTTTAGGGAAAGATATCATCTCTTCTCCTTTCAGCTCTTCTAAAGTTTGCTATTTAAGTTGAAAAAACACGAATTCTAGTTCATGTCTGCTAAATGTGTGTCTTGTAAGTGAAAGGTCTCCATTGTTACTGTTGGCTTTTACAGCCAACTAAGATAAAATGTAAGTTGTTCTTTATACACAGTTTTCATCAGTGATAGCAGGGAATTTTCTCTGACCTGTACTGGATAATCACCCTGAAAATATTAGCTCATACAGTGTCACCAAAATCTGATTTTAAATAGAAACCTTTATTTACATTATTATTAACATCCAAACACAAAAGCCAGAAGGGCAGTAACACCTTACAACCAACCCTTTTATAAATTTATAAAGTCCCCGTGATTTCTCTGTTCTGCAAAAGAAAAGATACAGATATTTCAAGCAATACTTGTAAATGTAAACTAAGCTTAGATGCAATTCTCAATACCGTATGCCTTCTCCTGAGAATTTTTAAAAATATTGCTCTCAGAATTACATGGTTTCACACTTTCTGTATCATTCTGTCATCTGGTGGTCTGCACATAAATTCTATAATAAAAGGTGTGCTAACTGGTGCAACATTCAAGTAAGTTTTGTCTTGTGACAGAAATGTGGTCTGGATTTCTCACTTCAGAAGCAGTATTTTAGGCCAAGGAAAAAAGTGCACTACATAGAAGTTAAATAAGCACATGTGATCAAAAAAGTAACAGAGACTTAGCAAAACAACGCTCATTTATGCAGCAGTGATCAGAGGCTGCTGCACTAGCTCATTCATCTCTTACTGCTGAATAATGTTATGTGGGTTTTATTAAAAAAAAAAATTCACAAAAATCTACTGCTATAGGACTAAAGCAAATTGATGGTGGTAACTAAATGGCAATAGATTTCAAACTAGATGTACTATTTAGTGCTGCCATTAAATATACCATCAATGCATTTTAAAAATGCCCCCTGCCCCTTCATCAAGTTTAAACTAAAAATCTTTTAATTCAGTAAAAAAAAAAGAAAAAAGTAGGTACTGGAAAGCTCCAACATGCTAAACATATGAGAAAAGGATGAGCTTTTATGTCAGTCGGGTAGGTACCAGTTATACATAGATGTATAAATAGAATTACTAATTAAAAAAAAAAAATTGTACTGCAAGATGTATACAGCAGTATATAGTCTAAGAGCTCACCTAATGAAAGCAACCGGTGTTTGTAGTTTCCATCAGTATAATGAGCAACTACAAAATATAAATATTGTTGTATTCTGATTTGATATAAAATGCAAGGGATTGTTGCCTTTCACTCTCAGTAAGCAGCACTTACTCAACAAATAAATATGATCCAAGAAATGAAATTAAAGTTCCTTAGGCTTTTAAAAGTTTGCATTATAAAAACACGTTAATCAGACTGAAAATTCCAAGTAAGTGCTGTGATAATCTATATACTCAGTACTAGTGAAAGAGACAGGGTTACATGAAGTAGATCGATTTAATCGACATTCCCTTTGAATTCCCCTTACACAGCTGGCTAGGCGCTAAGGATGAAATGATGAGAATATTTCTATTGAAACTTACTTCTATTAAAATGGAAGAACACTGAATATTCTGAACAATAAAACCCCATCTTGCTAACATACCAAGAATAAAGAAAAAAGAAAAAGCAAAAAAGAACACAGATGAGGGATTTTTGGTTTCTTTTACTCACTTGGGAGAAATCAGTTTTCCATTACACAACGAACAACAGAACAGAAGCACCACACATCTTAAACATTTTTGGGTCATCCCTTAGGAAGGTTTAGCGGTTTAATTCCTTGTAACTGCAAAAAGTGCAAAGGGATCTTCATTTCAAGCACCCAAAACGGAGGGGGGAAAAAACCCCCGTGCTACCAGCAAATAATATGTAACCACACTTAAATACTGCTATGACAGAAATCTGCTTAGAAAATACATTCGTTACTATTAGAATAATCCAATGAGGTGTAGACATTTGGTTAAAATGTGGCTTACTATCCTTAAAGATTTCTGGATGTTACATAATAACAAGTATTTTGCAACAGACAAACATTTTCAAAAAACATTTTGAGTTCATTAAAATTGACCACGAAGACACAATCCAGATTCATCAATTGAAAAGGCAACTTAGTACAGACAGACATGTCTGTCCCGACAAGTTGTAAGATCTTAGAAAGCAGAGCCTTCATGTCAAACTGCCTTAGGTAAGAAGAAATGTAACAGAAGTGCTCACAGGTGGAGAAAGTATTGAACAACTGGCCTATTTTTTTATAAAAAGCTCTGTGTTAAACATGTAAAAATAAATGAGGTGTTGGAGACCAAAGAAGAGAAATATGTGGGCCAAGGTCACCCAGCTTCAAAGTCCTTAAATGTAATTTAAAAAAAAAAAAAAAATTGGATCTCAACTACACTCAGTTTCCAGAAATCAATTTTGTTAAACATTTAGCTTCACAAACTCTGCAAAAATGAGTTAGTGACCTACAAAAGTCATATATATAATACATTATTTTAAAGATCATATTTACAAAATTTATTCACAAAAAGGACTGCAAAATTCTGACTCTGGCTGCAGTGTCTTGCCTTGAGTTTTCTGAAGCCTCTTTCAAAAAAAAAGATGAAAGATTATTGCTCTAATTTCCATACACAGAAAACATTACATTAGGCAGTCTTTTCAAGTAATTATTGAGAGATTGTGAAGGAATATGAGTACACCCTACCTTCTTATTAAGTCCTTATCAAAGACATTGCATCAATCCATTATATAGTCCTCTATAAAGTGCACTCAGCTGCACAGCAATTTGTAAATATTAGTCACAATTGTGTTTAAATAATTTAAATTGTTTATCCTCTCTTTTCAACCCTTGGCTTCAACAGACAAGATTTTAGACTAGCATGTGCCAATTAATTTTGCACTGCTACTTTGCTTGGGAAATCCCTGACTCTTGGGATAATAGACTAAAAGCAGCATTTATATTCATAGATTCATGTAAGAGTCAAGGCTAAGTACTACATTCTCTGTCAGATATTGTTATTGGAGAAATCAGGAAATTCTGACCACTGTGACTTCTCCAGGCACTTTCATCTGCCTGGGCTAAAGGTAGCTACAGCAAACACATAAGGTATTCCAGGAGTCTACTCATCAAATGTATTAAAATGGCATTACCAAATGCACTTTCCTAGAGGAAGAGTGCCAAAAATCTTAATGATGACCTTTTTTTGTACCCCGCATCATAGAGTTGATTCATAGGCTGCTTCTAGTAAAATGTATTTTTGTTGGGTAGGGTTTTTTTTGGTTTGTTTTCCTCTGGATGAGAAAATTAATCACTGGTTTCTGTTAAGCCCAATATGACTTGCCATGAAGAATGTGTCACTTTCCTTTCTAATACTAGTGCATTCAACCATTCTTGTTTGAAGATGTGGTTCTAGATGTCAGCAGTATTTCTGTTAAAGAAAAGATACTTTCATCAGAGAAGACATCTTTGCTGAAAGAAATGGTTTGTGTACTGCTTTTGGAAGAAGGAACTACTGCCAATCAATGCCTAGAAGAATAGTTTTTTAATGCTCCACTTTGAAAATAAACTTCTAGAAAATAAATGCTGTGCTAGAATTTCCTAAACACACTATTTGGGTATATTTATGTCATGTAGATTTGGAAAATCTGACATTTCACCTTTATACTCTCCTATTTATAAATGGCATTTGTTGTATCGAAGTCCTCCAAAATTTTACTTACCCCCAGAATTCTGACTGCTTCCTCAGGTATGCTGGACAAAATTTCACGAGGTACTTTTTACTTGAATAGATTTAGCTTATGTCAGTATTATGTTGCTCATCCTAGGTAGTTTGTGGAACGATTGTAGCGAAAGTGTATTTTGTACTTCAGCTTTCTTTTCAATGCCTGTTATTAGCACATTTTCACCTTAAATGAGGGGTCTAAATTTTCTGTCATTTCTGGCTTTGTGTACACAAGTTATTCTAAGGTATTGTAAGGGCAAGTGTCATTATCAGTGTCTGCCAGAAGGCTACCACACTAGCAGGATTCTTAGCCTGACCTGTACTTGTGTACTATTACATGTAATTTTCAAGATCTGCTGAAGATGCATTTCACAATGTCCACGGGGTTTTTTTTCTGGGGTTTTCTCCAGGTTCAGAAGTATTTCATCATCCTTTGTGCAGTTTAAGGCTTGATCTTATCCATGACAATTCAAAGTCAACAGCTAATCCCAGCATACAGCTTGGGCTCATTATGAATTTGTTTATGTATCATCAAAAAGGAAGTATCTCTTAGGACATAAAATTAATAGGCCCACAGATGCAAATACAAACAGGATAACTGAGAGCAGGATTGTGCAGGAGGAATGGATGTAAGCAGACTGTATTCAATGGAAAAAGAGTCAGCAAATCTTTTCATCACTCTTGATGTACAACTTACCTGTTCTGGACCCATAGGCAGTCCTGACATAGGCATGGTATTAACACTCATCTGTCCAATATGGCCACTGCTGCCATTCATGTGCATCATACTGTATGCTGCTGGGCTACCTTGATGGCTGAACTGCTGCTGGGGAAAAGAACTGAAGTACAAAAGGACAAATAAAATCAACTTCCAAGAAGTTTACACACTGATGTCTTGCCTTCCCTGCACCAGCTGTCAACACGTGAAAGATAAAACTATTTTCACATTTAGCCGTTTTTATCTAGTATCTGTTTAACAAGGAAACTCCCCTCCCAAAAGGAATTGGAGTTTTTAGAAATGCACAGTTGTATGTGTATGCCGAATGTAACCTTTTTGGAGGCTACTATTACAGCTGTATCATCTATTGTAATACTATTTGATATTTTGAATTTCTCCACCCCCTCCCCCAAGTTATTTTTCCTTTAAATATTAAATTAATATTTAAAGACTGAATGTTTTTTCTGGTTACAAAGATTGTAGAGGTCCAGTATGAATCAATGGAGCTAAGCATAAAATAATCATTTTATTTGCTAAACCAGAGCAGGATGAAGGACAATACAGACACTAGAAAGTTACTTTTCCCTCTTGTAAATGCTCTTCCTACTATGTGCTATTTAACATAGTTTCTACTTCCAGAAAATGAAAAACTCTTTGAGAGATAGGTTGTAATCCTGAAGTTCACCTGTTTCTGGGGATGCTTCCTGAGGGCCAGCCCTTCATCTCTGAGGATGGGTACATTGTTGCTGACTGAGGATGCTGCAGCATAGGGTTCTGGGAGGGTCCAATTCTTGATGATACCATTGGATTGGGAGGGCTTGATACTCTACTAAATGCAGGATCAGGTTGTTGGCTTATTCCTTAAAATAAAACAAAGGAGACAGATAGAATATACTTCAGTTATCATTACCTACTACTTCTAGTTCATCTTCTTGCAGTGATTGGAAGCAGAAAAGTCATCCTTTTTTGTAGCAGTATAGTCCGTTTTTCAGAATGATTGGTATTTAGGTAGTGTGGATTAATAAAAAAAGGGAAAAGAAAAACAGACAAATGGAAAAAAAAAAGCCAAACATGTTAGTACTAGTACCATAATTGGGTGGATAGGGGAATTGCTGTGAAGGAACTTGAGCCATTGGAGGGCCTGTCAAAGCACTATCCATGCTTCCTGAGGCTGTCACATTTGGTGGTGGACTGAAGGCCTGGGGTTGCTGTTGCTGCTGCATCATCATTGCCATCCTCTGTTGTCTAAAATGGTGACTTATTAGTTCCCTGTTACGCTGAGCCACCATTTGAGCATTAAGAAAACCTTGCTGCTCTCCCCCAAAGAGAAGAAAAATCATATTAGAAGATGTTTTTACAAATAAAATCATGTCAGAGTCAATCAAACTCATTCCTAAGACCCAGCAAGTCAAGGAAATCCCACAGACAGTACAGCAAATAATCATCAAAATATTAAGACAAAAGTTTTCATTAAGTTGTCATTAGTGCTAAAGAAACAATGATATTTTACACGAAAAACTTGGCATACTGAATTGACAGCATGACCTAATGAACAAATCCTCCAGCAATCTCAGCAATAAGGGAGGCAAAAAAACCCCTTTTTAAAAAATTATGCAGAGGAACAAAACCAAAGAGGAATGCTGTAAAGCCATGAAAGAAGGCTGAAATTCTAAACAGATGGCTACTGTAGTAAGTACTTACCTGGGATCCCACCTGTGGCTGCATAACTGGTCTCATCACTGAGTTAGTACCACTGACTGGATTTTCCATTTTTATTTCAAGAGTTTGACGGGTCTGATTCATAAACTTCGAAAAAGACATTTTAGCACAATTAGCTTGAAAATAACAGTAATGGTAACTTCTGCAAAAACACTTTCTTTACAGACCTCTTGAATCCATAAAGTGCAATGGCTAATTTCTGCCTTGTCTTTAAACAAACTATTTGTTTAAACAGCTCAAACACACAAAAAGAAAAACCCTTCAAACAGTACAGCATTAACTCGCTTTGGTTTTTTAATTTTCCTTAAATGATCCCTCTTTAGGAATAAAGAGCAGATTATCTATTTGTTTTAAACAATAAGTGTCACAGAAAACCAAAAGAGAACACAGTATTTCCTAGCATTGCTCCATGTGTGGAGAGGAAAGGGTTGAAAAATGGAAGATTGGCAAGGAGACAGAAAAGGAAGTTGTTTTTAGAATTGTTTTCTCTCAAAGACCAACCAGGCACCAGGGAGATGTTAGAAAACAGTCTGGCTGAGAAAATGCACATATTTATGTTTGCTATATAGCAGGATGTTGTTAAAGACTTTTAAAAGCCTTTCCCATAGATTTGGGCCTCTTTGTAAAGGTGGGGGAAGGGAGATAAGAGGATTTGGAGATGTGAAAGTAGAGCCTGGTTGATGGACTGTGCATGCTCCAGGCCCTTTTGATATGGAATACAGGGCTCAGGCCTGGGTGCTTTTTGCCCCTTCTAAAATGAGCTTAGTGGTGTATGTGTCTCTGTTTTTTCAAATCCAGGATGACCTACTCTTCGTACTTCAGCTGTGTGTTGTTGCTGCCTTGGTGTTACCTGCATGTATTCTGTTCTCACACCATGTCACACAGCAGTAGTTCAGTTTTCCTAATTTTATTTGTACACTGTATTTAATATCAAGCCTGCATTTTCACGTGGGGAATTCAATGCTGAAATGATCCACCAATTTTTTCAGCAGTGTTTTCAACCTAGTGTTAAGATCTATGTGGCTGTATCTATTCTCCCCACCTTTCATCCCAAGAAAATATCTAAAATTACATCAAATCACTAAACAGAAAGCAAACCCATATATCGATAAGCTCAAATGATCAGTCAGAGAACACAGTGAGAAAGAAGTAACACCTGATTTACAGAAATACAGTAGAAATACAGCTCCAATTTAATGCTATCTGTGAGGTTCCGAAAAAATACTAAACGCAGAGAGCATGCAGAGTTACATGTACAAAAGCACTGTTTTAGCTAGCAATTGTTTAGCTAGGAATTGTTAGCTAACAATCCTGTGTGCTGCAGGAACCAATCCAATCTGTAGCTAGGGAGGCTGATGAAGTTCTCGAGAAACACTTGTCCTAATAAATGTTCTTCTTCTACTCCTACAGCCATCAAGCAATTCAATGAGAAGCACTGTCAAAATAAAAGATCCACCCTCTCAATCATCTGTTGTAATATCCATTGTTATATACGTACAGCAACACAATTCTGTGTGATTCCATTCTGAAACATGAAGGAAGTGTAAATGTAGGAGCAAAAAATTACCTGCTGTCCCTGAAGCCTCTGCTGGAGCTGCATGCGTAGCTGCTTTGGTGTGTTGGTCCGAGGTCTCATCACATTTGCTCGGGGATGGATACTTTGCAGAGGAAAATTGCTTGCTTGGCTCATTTGATTCATCACTGAATTAAAAGACTGCTGTTGTCCCTGGATGTTACTAAAACTTCCTGGCATTGCTGGCCCTTGCCCTTGATACGGTTGACCATATAACAAAGGCTTCTGGTCAATCATTACTGAAGATTCCTGACCTTGAAATGAATCTTGTTTGGGTTCCAAAGCTTGTCCCTTCAACAGATACAGAAGTGCTTTCACTAGCAGTATATATGGAATTTCTAAAGTAGCAATAAAGCTAACTCAGCATAATACACCAGCCAGCAATTTCTTGGGTAGAACATAGCATGGACAGCTACTGTTAGTTCTGTCTCCAAATGAATGAAATAGCAAAAGTGATTTATAGTGATAATTATTTTTTAAATCAGTTTTGCTGCACACTGCATACACAGGCAGACCAGTGTCACTATTCAAGCCCTTCTGCATTTTTTGATGCTATTTGTACAAATGATGGTGTCATGTGGGTCTTAGCAACTTCCAAAGTACTCACAGAATTTCTTTTCTCTATTTGCTAGCCATGCAAATTCAACCTGGAACTGAAGGAGAGGGAAGCATCCACATCACTGACAGTCAAATAATTCACAATCTAAGCTCAGCTGACAGCAGGCTACTAAGGAAACCCAACAGAATTCTCAGTTTATAGAATTATAATGAATTACACTCCACCTATATATACCAAGGCATTATACAACAAACTTCTGTAAGAATATGCCACTTTGTATTTCTTGTCATGCACAAGAAATTTAATCCATACTGAGCTCCTCCATTGAAAATCACTAGTCAATATGAAGATTTCCAAAGGGAAATGTATGAATATGAAGATAAGGATGTGATGAGATGAAGTAAATGAGGAGGTCCTCTTGAATTTCTTTTCAAGTAATAAAATAATATTGGTCTTTGGAAAATAAATAGCCAAAATATCTGTTTACTTACTTGGTTTACAAGATCAGGAATACCTAATGCTCTGTCAATTTCTTCCAGACTTGTGACATCTGTATTACTCAATAGTGTGTGCAGCTGATCCAGAAGTGCCCTTTCATCATTCTGGCCTTCCATATTTGGCGCCGAACATAAGAGATCATCCAAAGAGCTTCTAACTAATTGTCTAAAAGTAAAAAAAAAACCACTAAAATCATAAAATCAGTAAGGCTGGAAAAGACCTCCAAGATCATGGAGACCAGCCTTTGAGGGAATACCATCTTGTCAATCACACTTACAGCACTAAGTGCAACATCCAGTTGTTTCTTGAACACATTAGGAATGGTGTCTCCACCACCTCCCTGGGCAACTCATTCCAATGCCTGACCACTCTTTCAGTGAAGGAATTCATTACAACCATTACCAGAAAAACGACAGTTTTATATAATATATTGACCTGGGTATGATTAAGTATTATAGTCACCCAGACAACCAAAGTAAGACTTAAAAACTTAAGTCCAAAATTTATGTCCTAAAATGCCCAGTAACCTTCCATGCATCCTTAAGCACACATAAATTCTGTTTTCTCCTGGTTTTACCATGTGCCACAGAGATAGGACTTCAGAGTCTCCCATCTGTTTTTTCTGTGCCTCCCAATTCAAGGATTGATAGATTTTGTTAACAAAGACTTTTGCGGAGCTCAGTTAAAAAATATCCAGTGTCAGATCACCAGCAGAAATGGAAACAGTTCTGAAACATTACAGAAATGGAATTCTGCCTCCAATCTGTTATCCCCACTGCGTATGCGACACAATTTTATTTCCAGGTCTTAAATTCTTCTGACAGACAGCGAACAGTTGTATTTAGAATTATCTTAAAACCTTCCCCAGTTCTACCTGTTTTGTGAACCCTGTGACACTTGCTCCATCGACATCATATTGTCAGGCCACAATCCAGGTTGGTTAGAAAGTCCAGGTTGTCCATAGGGATTACCTCCCATGTCAATGTTTATCTCATTTGGCTCTGCAAGGAAAAACATTTGTGTATTTTTTAAAAACTGAAGGTCTCATCTTGCTATCCTAGTGTTCACATGAGGATGATCATGCAAATTGTCAAGCAGCTTTGTGACCTTTCCGTTATAGCGTTTTACAGTGTATACACACATGAACTCCCAGTCAAGATAATTTCACATTTATAGTAGACCACAGATGTAAATACAGCAGACAGTGATCTAGACCTGCTGCCCTGTTAGAGCAGAATTGCTACTTCTAATCCTTTAGACTCTAAATAGGAGCGTGAAAGACACAATACCTTACATGAAAAAAACCCCAACAAAAATTCTGGACAATGACATCTGGGTACCAGCAAATACACACTGTCATAGGGACATAAAAATCTGGCATTTTGAATTCCAATACAGAGTGGATATTAAAAGAAACATAAAGTACACAACATTTTGCTCTTTGGGAGTACCTTTTTCCCCTCTACCTATCCAGAGACACACAGCACTACACAGGACTGTTTATGTCATCCCACTATTTCCCAGCATCTGTATGAACCACCTAGCATCAATGATTTCTAGGAAGCTAAGCTGGAAAATTCTGACTTAGTCAGGACTGCACAAATTTCTTCTGTATTTAATCTTATACTCATTCATTGCATTGAAATAGTAAGTCTGTTTAAGGGAATTGGTGACAGCCCTGGTAGTTTTCCATTATAAGAAAGGAATGCTGTCTATTTAAGCTGGTTTGGGGCATACTGATATTGGCATAGCAGACTGTAGAACTTCAGCTCTACACTAAACATTTGTTAGACATATAAAACAGAAGAAACCCACAGGCTTTAAGACTGTTCATATTTTGGACATGCAGCTTATTTTCTGTCATGCACATAAGAATACTTAGAAGAAAAACAGTATTTGCAATGTGGCTTCATACGAAATTTGGCTACTCCATGTGAAAAGAAGTTTGAAATAATTGAGAAAAAAACTTTACAAGACATTGATTACCAAGAAGTTAACAGCAAAACAGAAAAACAAACAAACAAAAAAAACAAAAAACAAAAAAAAAAAACAAAAACAAAAACAAAAAAACCCCAAAACAAACAAACAAACAAACAAACAACCACCAAAAAACCAAACCAAACAAACAAACAAAAAAACCTAGCATCTTTACATACGGAATCATAGATGCCGTTTAGTTCCTGGAATTTAGCAAAGAAGTACTGCACTAAAGAAACACAGAGAAATTATCCCCCCCACCCAATCTCAGGACCCAGAACAAATTATCTGTGTATGAGATGTAGAGCACCAGAAGAAAACAAGAACATCACCAAAAAATCATAAAATCTCACAGTCAGGGAACAGTAACAGACTCAACCTCAAAAAGCCATTCAATGAAAATCTAGCATTTTACCAATAGTTCAAAGATTCTTAGGATGAATGCTTACCAAGAAACCAGGGAAATAGTGCTATGTAGAACAATAAGAAGCTAAGAACTTACTCATGTGAATCATTTGCTGTTGCAGCATTGGCCTAGTACCAGGTATGCTGTTGGAGCGAACAGGCAGCCCAGACACAGAGCCAGCCTCTGGGGGCCTTGGAAGGGCTGTACCAAATTCAGGTCCTGGTCTCAGCATTGAAGCAGAATTTGCAGATTCCAGTCTGTTCACTTTGGAGTTTGGCAAACCCCAGTCTCCTGGCTGATGCTGATTCATAGCCACATTTCTGTGGGGAGCGCTTGCTATAATGAATAGCAGAAAACACAAATATTTATTATCTGGAGTACATTATGTGGTTTTGTTTTCGAATTATTTTGCTATTTCATAAAAGTGCACCTGCTAATGTCAGAGCAATTGGCTGAAGTCCTACAAAAGCATCTAGAGCTCACCATGCCAATTCTAAATCATACAAAAACCTATATGAGTCTAAATATAAGTAAAATTCATAATGACTGGCTGCCACTGAACTGTTCTTGCTTCTATATACCAAAAGTACATGTTAAACTAAAAACTCAAAATAGTAAAAAATAATTTAACTACTTATAGCAAAGTACTGGTAATGACACAGGTAATAAACGGTTATGTTCTTATAATTTTAGCAAAGACAATTAATTCAGAAGTACTAATGATGGTAAAATTAAAATTCTTTAATGTTAAAGTTTCTTCTGACTGAAATTTGTATTTTAGTCTTGTAACCTTTTTTACATTAGAGCTATTTCCTTTACAATGAGAGCTGTTTGTATACAACCAACAAACCCAGATTTGATCCAAAATTTTCTTGGTTTTCAATCATTCTTGGACTTCCACCCATCAAGTTTTGCTTTTGTAACATGGAGAATGCATTGACGTTCCTCACTGAAGCACCTGAGCCCATAGGGCTGTCTAAAGACAAGGCTCTGTGAAAAGGTGGGCGAGTAGTCTGCATAGACTGGGGACTCTTCACACCTGTTAAAGAATTAAAAGATGCATGCAACTGTAAATTTTAAATAAAATATGCTATTAATGACTCAAATTAGTCCAATCTCTTTATGTACTCATACACTTGGTCTTAAGCTAGCCAGGAACAGTTATGCTGCCTATGTTTTCACAACAAAAATTCCCATTTTGAACACATAGTTAGGACCTTTTGCAGTAAAAGTCAAAGGCAGTTCCCTCTGGCCCTACACAAAAAAAAAAAAGCTTCCTTTTAAGTTCTGTAATGACGTGGTGTGCTCCTGAGCACAGTGTCCTCTATGGATAATTAACCTACAAATCACTGTGCTTTACAGCCAATACTGTCCTTTCGTGTTCTTGTACCTGGTTTTATATTTTTCATTATCCATGTCTCACCTCCTTTGGTTATCTCAGCAATCCATTGCCCTGTATAATCAAGAGATGGCCAGTGTTATGAAAGAAAGCAACAACTGCCATGACGCTGGTCTATCAGCTCAGTTATCCTCCCCTCCTACTAAGGAAGGGCATTCCTTTTGATGTCAAGGAGGAGTAATGATTAGAATTTACTGGCCACAAGATATCTTCACACAGAATAGGAAAGAAATCAAAAGCTTGTCACCAATCCCGTATTATATCCCTAGTCATCAGTGAGGGATAAAAATTCTCAATTTTAATTTACAGCTCACAAAACATCTTTCCTGATGACTTGTCTCTGAGAAATCTACATTAGACAAAGCCAGAATAAACCATAAAACAAGGAACTAAATGTTATTCATTGTGTGTATAGTAGGCAAGTGCTGTCAAGACAGCTAATAGTGTACATAATAGCCTATGAAAACATAATTAGCTATCTTGCATTACATTTGTCCTTGAAGACATAGGAGATGAAGAAGGTATTTTCTGAGGGTATGAGGATGCATTATGTTTACATCAGGTAAGAAGAAAACCCTAACTTGAAAACCCAGGCGGTAGATTTAATTCCTTACCCAACAGGGCACTTCCTTGAAATAACGCTTGCTTTGTTCCAGGGTTATCTCCATTCGCAGACATAGCATTATTGTAAAATTCTGAACTAGTAAGATCACCTAGAATTGCATCCAAATTATCCAAGTCTCCATTCATCTGAAAGTGATGCAGTGAAATACCAAGGTTATTTACTCTCATATGGCTATACTTCCATTTTTAATTAGATCCTTGCTAATCTTAAAATATATGACTGGGGGACAAATTTTTTAATTCACTGATGCTATCTGGAGCTATCTTTTCACTTCCAAAAATTCAGATACCCTTTAGATACCTTTTTTTTGAGTATTTTCTTTGGGTAATTTTGAGGATTAGCAGAAAACACACATAGCTAAAATGAAAAGCACTTTTGAATATAAGTATTTCAAACATCACAAGTTACAAAGATAAAAACATTAATGATAGTGACCAACATTGAGAATGTGTAACATTCAGTGATAAATAATGTATCTATCATATACAAAAAGACAATAGTGAACACTACAAGACACAAAAATTATGCACAGGTTTTTCTGATCAGTTGGAGCCCTAACTTTCTTTAAAAATTTGTCTTTAAATCAGACAGAGCTTCAATAGAAAATAATTCATATATAGTGGAGCGACATCTTTAGGAAAGAAGCTTCTCTGAATACCTTAATTACATCTCAGGAGCAAGTATACTGAAACTACATGTTGTGTAGTACTACAGAGTTGATAGTGACTTTTCCATAAGTGGTATTCAAACAGTGTTATAAGGTGTTTCATTTATAGTCAGCCAGTAGCTAATACAAAAAAAAAAAAAAAAAAAAAGTGGTGGTTTTTTTTATGTTTTACCCAGTTATTATTGATTTGGGAAATTCAAGGTCTAAGAAATCAATATATCTTCAGTAAACTCTGCCATACTGACCAGTACTGTTTACTTTGAAGTCCCAGATATTACAACTTAAATACAAAAACATTATATACAGATTATAATTTTAAGAACATCTGTTCCTAACAAGTCTACTGTTGGTTTCAGAATAGTTGCTCCATGATGCTAGTTTTCTGTATCATGACATTTCTCGGAACTCCAGCTCTCGAATTTATTTGTTTGTATTTATTTATACAAATTATTTATACATTTTAGTATGTATTTATTTGAATGCTGGATACATACATATATATATATATATATTTATATATATATACATTTGGAAGAACATATTCCCTCATTTAAAGAAAGAAAAAGAGTGCTAAAACCAATGAATGAACTAAACCAAATCACAGCTGTTTCAAGTATTACACATTTTTGTGTATTGTTTATATTTTCAAAATGAAATCAGGCTTTACCTTTCGCTCTTGCATTGCCAACTAAGTACAGAGGCAGTTACGGGCCCATTTCCTACTAAGACATAAAACCAAACATGTGCTAAGATCTAATTTTAAGGAGTAATTTGTAAATATTAACTTAATCCTACCATAACTTAAAAACATTAGTCCTGGACACTTCAGGACATCAGATCTGGTTACATATCTCCTGTAGTTCTTTTTGTTTGCGCTTTTTCATTCACAATTAAACCTGAGTTTATTGTTTCACATCATTTGCACAGACCCTTTTTAGAAATGTTGACACATGCACACTGTAGAGTGTTCTATATTTAGTCACTTACTTAATAACAAAATATTGGTTAGCTCACTGACACCATTTTACATTACACTATACCTCCTCTGCTGGCTCCATTTTTAATTTCATCTCTTTTTCTTGACTTGAAATAGGAATTGTAGAACTTGTGCATTGTCCCATCTTATTATCCATGCCTTCTACTTTAGGCTTCAAGTCTTTGGAAAGTGGTTCCTTAATATCATCTTTATCTAGTAGATATCTTAGTAAAGCATTGCTTTCTTTCTTCTTAGGGCTTAGTTGTTCATGTTTGACAGTGCCTTCTCCACAGGAGGTTGTGTTACTAGCATCATGATATGTGTCTTTACCAGTGGCTTCAGCTGTGATCTTGGCCACCTCTGCTGGAGAATTACCATTCTGCAACAATTTATGTAAAATCCTGTGCTTCTCTTGCAGGAGCGACCCATGCATGTTTGAGGAGGAAGATATCCCTGCAGATGTTGATGAGGAAACTCCTGAAGGACTGGTAACGCTGGTAGAAGATTCTTTACAATTTGAGTCTAAAGGTGAGTTTGATGCTGTAGAATGTCCTCTTTCATCTGAGGAGCACGTAAGTAGCTGAAGGAGTTTTTTATGCCCTTTGCTCTCAGATGGTCCTCTCTGACTTTCAGATGCCTCCAGATTTCCCTCTTTGTTATCTTTTTCACTAAGGAGATCTCTGCTGTTTGACTGGCAGATGGAACTTTCCACTTGGTTTTGTTCACAATACAAACCAGAAGGGCTTTTGGAGTCCTGGGTACTTGCTTTAATTTGCTGAGTTACGCTAATGTTTGGGGAATTATCCAACTTTGGACCCGGTGAAGAAAGTGTTGATAAAAGGGAATTTCCAACACCCTCGCTAATGGCTTGCAGAGCACTAAGAGAACTGCTAGAGAAAGTGCTGTTGCTAGTGTTGCTGGCAGATCCCATTGGTGAGTGCATACCTGTATCATGTGACAGAGATCAAATTTATTAGCTTACAGTACTGCCAGTATGTACTCTTCCTTTGGATTATGCATGACTGCCACATTAAGATAATAATGAAGTCAGGTATATTACATTCAAGTAACACATACAGGTTCATATAGAACAGTTAAAATGGATGAAAGATGGAATTCAGATAGAAGTAAGAAAAAAAAGCTTGAAAAAAAAAAGAGCTTATAGCAAAAATAAAATACCTGTAACTGGAGAATACTGGTGTGAACTCATTTTTGGACTCCCTCGATTCCTAGGAGACACCATTAGATTCTGTTGGCTGGAAGTCAAGCCAGGACTGCCATGTGGTGGGCTATTTATATTTAACCCAAAACTGTTACTCTGATAAGCAGAGGACTGCATGCCTGTTCCCGAGTTCACTGGCCCCATATTCCCAGGGCTTCCATATCGAGTGCTGGTGAGCTGACCCACTGCATTGGGATCTCCTATCCCATAGTTTCTGTTCTGCATTGGCATGGCTTGACCAGGTGACATGTTCATAAGACCATTAACAGAATTTGTGTTTCCAGTCACAGGTGTTCTGATGTTTTGCACAACAGAATTAGGATTTGGCCGATATCCATTTTGTTCTCTGTAAATTCAACATCAGCCCCAGAAACCCAAAGAAAACAAATTAAAACCTTATTTGGAATCATGTGGTACAAATACATTATTAATTAATTGCCCAAATATTTTTCCAAAAAAAAGCAGTGAGAATTCAAGCTTCCACAAAAGCAGAACTAAGCCATGACATTCATTTATTCGCTACAGAAATGTTTGATCCTTTGAAGGCTTCGAGTTACAAGCACATACAGTCACTGCCTCAAAAAGCTTCTATCAATGATCAGATTATTAATCAAATTTATTCATTTAAAGATCCTCCTTCTCTCATTCCCTTCCTGAGTCAATGCCTGACACCCTTCCACTGTGCACATTAACAGTGTGTGACCGTGAGCAAGCTCAGTTACTAATTTTTCAGCATCTGGAGGCACTCTAATGCCAGAAGGAGACAGATTCCCTCCAAAGTGACATTTCAATTAATCTTGCAAAGATCAAGAACAGGCGATAAGAAATACTACTTAAGGTACATTTCAGTTATGGATTATGCATCTGAGAGGGTTTTGTTGTCTTTTTAATTGGTCTAAAAAAGCACATAGAGACTGAGCAGCTCTATTTTCAGTGTTTCATCAATGCTACCACAAAAGACTAATACACACATAGCACAGGCTTTGAGCAGGTATTGAGAAAAAAATTCTCTTTTGACTGTGACTGTCTTTCTGCCACATAGTTAAAATGGGACTCTGTGAGGTTTACACATTTATTTGTATGCTATGCAGCTCTGCTTCCCAAATTATTCCTCATCTGAGTTTTAATCAGGGAAAATATTTTACTATGCTATTTTCTCAGGTTGTCTTCAAGGTCAGATGTATTTCTTAAAAATGTAACACTTAAACTATAAACGGATACTACTAAGTTCACCTTTGAAGGAAGTGGGTAGAGATAAATCCATGGCGGTCATTAGTTACAGGATTTCGAAACAGTTTACTCTTCGTTTGTGCTGTCACTATTGTACCATCCGCTAAAGAAAATCGATACAATGGGGTTTCAGCATGACCTTGCGTATAAGCTGTAAAGAGAATACATTAAAATATAGCTAATATTTAAAATCCCAAGAATTATCAGGAAGAATTATAAGATATTTTTGACACAATACCCTTCCTTTACTGAAGATTACTCCACCTAAACACAAAAACCCATTAAAAATAAATAAATGAATAAATGAATGAATTAATAAATAAATAAGACCTACCCAAAATAAATACAGAGAAAAAGGAAGTATTCCACTATTTCTCCTATATCAATAGAGGGAAGATAAAAGCAAACGAGATTATTCTGATGCTGCGATATTTTGTGCTCACCAGACACAACTGGCAAAGTTCTGCATTTGTGAACAGACTCCCAAGGCTAGATTACAAAGTCCATGGCTCCTGCCTGGGGAAGAAATTTTAAGTTTGCTTAAATCAAAAAATTGTGGAAACTATTGGTTTAATTTGAGCTTCAAGTCTCTTGCTAATTTAGGATTCATTTGACTAGTTATGTTGAAGAACTTCCAATGGAATGGAAAATCCATTTTCTGACATTATGAGTTTCTCTTGATTTAACATCTCCTGTGCTTGAATTACTCTGTAAATCCCTCAAAAAGACTAGAGCCTGGAATAATTAAAAAACATTATCTTTCTTACTGAAGACTGTGGCTGTACTTCACTTATCTATGGAGGTTATCAAATTAGCATTACAAAATATGTGGCACTGGAACGCTGAAAATATTTTGAGCTGTGTGTCTTGAGAATAAGAAAAAGGCATCAACACAAGTGTTATCACTTTCAGAGAGTGGTTCTTTAACAAAGGAAAGAGTGAAATGAAATAACATCAAACTAACATTACCCAAAAATAACAAGATAATGATAATTAAAGATGATATATCATCATAGAAATATAACTGTCTCTGTCATTGCTGCATCCATCTGTAGAAAAATAGCTTCCTTGAGGAACCCAGATTATCTATCTGGTATTTTCCAAGTTAATTCCAAAACAAACACATTGAAAAAACCAAACAACTCCCAGCAGAATTCCTCATTATCAGGAGGTCATCCTCCTTCAGCTTGTAAATGAATCAGAGTAATTAACAAAAACCATGTAAAAAAAGAAACACAGGCAGAATTTAGCTTTTTTATTTCAGAAAAAAATGCAGCCCCTAGGAGAAGCAATGTGACCCACACATTGTAAACTGATTTTTACCTTCATGATAGTGGCGTTTATTTGACCATGACTGCCCGTCATTGTGGCATAAGAATCTCTGAATGCAGCGACGAATTATATCTTCAAAGCCAGGTCTCATGGATGATCGTAATGAGTTTGTGTCAATGTTGACAAGTTTGCCTTAACGGGAAAGAAAATGTACAAGTTAAAGTCTTCATGACTATGACAATTCTTTTTGTATAGATATGGTACATTTCCTAAGGCTCCAATATAGCCCTTTTAATCACCAAATTCCGAGAATGCAGAATTTGCATTTATGAATTATCTGCCACATGAGAATATGATGCTGCTTGTTAAAGCATCACTATTCAAGGGGATTTATGTAACTGAGTAAGAGGAAGTTAGTCACCCACAGGTCAATGTCAAAGCTTTAGAAAACAGTAACTTTTTAGTCTCTGGTTACAGGCACCTAAGGGATGCACACAGAGTAAAATTTTAAAAAATAGCGACCAACTACATCAAACGAACATCATAAACACAAAGTCCCATTTAGATTATACAACTCTTTCCATTTAAAAAGCATGAACCACTTTAAACATTAGCTCATGTATAGTATAAAAATATAAACATTCTGCAGGACTTCCCCTTATGACCTAAAATACTTCTGCGTAAAGGAAAGCAGAATGACAACCACTTGAAATGCTAGCTAAAACACAAGTAATGGTTTTTAGCAACCTACAAAACAGTAACATAGAGAAGAAAATGCCTCCCACAGGTTTCATTACATCTCAACACCAGCAATGCTGTATTGCAAAAAAGCAGTCGGGAATTCTCAGTATGAATTCTGTTAGTCACTACACATACACAATACACACTCCATTTATTTAAAACAAGAGCACATGGACCAAGAAGACTCCTTTGTACCTTCCTCCCGGGTATGCTTCCTACCTGAAAGATCATGCCGTGTAATAAAGCTCTCTGGATTTGCTGGAAGTACCCTTTCTGCAGTTGTGATACGACGCGCCACACAAATCATGCAGGACTGCAAATCTGTATTTAAAAAAGAATGTTTCTTCTTTCATCATCTCCTGTTTTACTGTGTTGAAGAATCCAGTAAAATAGCTGAAGCATCTTTTGTTATTACAATGGAAGTACAGACAGTAAGGATAAAAGCTGCTGCATTCTTGAAAATGGTTTGCTGAACACCAAAGAGCTTTTCACAGAAATTTCTATGCATGACAATTCCGCAAAAATTCCTACCTTCCCCCTCTTCCATCATAGCTCTTGGCTGCGATAAAGCGAAGCACTGCATAGTTTCATATCTTTGACGTATATCCTGGTAGCCACCTACATCTTCAAAGAGGTCATGAGAGCTTTTCACCATCATCCGGCAATTGAATGTATGGCTCTTCTGTCTAGGTGTTTCATTAGTCCAAGAAACTCCATTAACTTGAAAGAACACAGTAAGAATTCATATAGATTTTCAGATACAATCAACTCATAACTGATTCTTCCTAATTTAGATACCCTGTTCCTAGATTACAGATATTAAAGACTATTTTAAGATGCCTTCTCAATATACCATCAATATAGCTTGGTATAAAAATCGGAATATTGAGAACCAAGTACAAAACACTCTTTCTTTTGCACGACACTTTCAGTCACTTGAAGAAGTGCTGGGAAGTCGCTCACATACTTTAAAAACAAACAGTTCCTTCAGCCAGCCTTGTGGTATTAGGGAAGGTGTTCCTTTAGCATCACTCTTTTAAAGTTATAGGTAAAAAAAATGCAAAGGGCTAAAGTAAAGTGTGAATTTCCAGCACATTTCTTTCTGATGGCATGCTATTGTAAAAACACAGTAATATTTATCAAGATTAAGATATTCTTGTAGTAAAATATTCTTTATAGAAGTCATTTGTTTTGAAAGGTTATCCTTTATGAGGTATTTTTGCCTTCTCTGATTGTTTTCAAATAGTCTAGTAAGTGTAGTAAATAAACTTTTACTACCTGTAGATTTAGGTAAGTTTTTAAGAAAGTCCTTCCGGTCTTCTTCATGCAAGATACTATACACACTTGTATTAACCAAATCTTCTTGTTTATACTGCAGATACTGTGTGACATTTTCTGACACAAATACTATGTTCCCATCTCGATTTACAACAAAGAGGAAGCCGTCCAATGCCTAAATATTAGCACGACAACATATCATGTAAGACATAATGACTAATTCTCAACATAATTTAATTTAAAAGCTGTGTGGGTGATAAATGTCAATTTGCAATGTATTCACTTATTTTCAAGGATAGAGATGAAGCTTAAAATTCTTTTTTGAGGAAAAGCGTGTCTGGTAGGAAATTATTTAAATAATAATAATTAATATGTCCACGTGATATTCCATTCAGTTTTCACATTGATAATCAGCCTTCTTGTTTCATTCTTGATTTATACGAACACTAGATCATGTATTTGTACCATTAATTCAATAGTTAGCGAATTGAAACAGGAGGTTCAGTAGAAACAAGAAGGAAGTCATGAATATGAAGACATTTCCACTATCAAGTGATGAGATAGGAGGATCTAGCCAAATACTGTATGTTCTTAATTGAAAGAGAAATTCAATATCTATGTTAAAAAACTAAGCTTCAAAAACACTTTGATGAACTTGTAAACATCAGATTGGTTTTCTAGCCATAAAGAAAGGCTATTTGCTACGTACCTTCGTTTACTATTATTCTTGGGTTATTTTACTTGATAGCAACATTCATTTAAAATGCTTCCTAATTTAGTAACACAAATGCAGACACATATAACAAACCTCTCCTTGCAAAAACTCCTCTATTTAATGAGTAACCCCTACAAGAAATAAAATATTCCTTGTACAAATAAGCTCTGCTTTGGTAGTAATTTGCTAATGACTGCTAGAGTAAATAAAGCATAGGAATATTAGAAAAAGTCAAAGGCTATTCTATTTCCATCTACAGAGAATTTCAGCAGAATTAAGAAAACATGATAGATTTTATTCCTGAACCTTTCAAACTTATTTCTGCATGGTGCTTGCATACTATTTCATTACTACGGGATTGCATACTTTATTGTAGTATTTTCACCTGCCATAAGTACTGGGTTCCATAGGGGTTTACTAGGGCCTAATTTGTACTTGCCTGTAATAAAAGAGGTCCCAATGAATCCTTGTCAATAACTCCTTGACCCGTGGATGATACATCAGCTTTCTGAACATCATCATCATTAGAAACTGCTTTTCCTGAAAGCCAAAAGATAAAATTTCCATAAAGCGACTTTTCATGTGACAGATACATTTTAGTATTACAAGCAACATCCCAGGGACAGTGTGAAATAAAGGTGAAAAGATGCACAAATGAGAGAGGAGGGTCATATACTGTTGGCCGCCAAGACTAGAAAAAATGTCATGGCCACATAATGCCAAACTCTTTGCACACATAAATTGACTTAGCAGCTGAAGCTGACACAATGAACTTGCTTTGTGAACATTTCTTGCTTTTCTGACACTGTCTGATGAATACCTGCTGAGTCTTTCAATAGCCATTAAACACACTCATATCTATCTCTTTCTTATCTTTTTATTTGGATCATCTCATTATCATTGGTCACAGTCTTCAGATGCCACCACCACTGTTCTACAAGAAGGCTTTGATTCATGTTAACAGCTGTGTGTCTGTATGTGTATACACATGTATCTACGTGTGTGCATGCATATAATAAAGTCATATTTAAAGAATCAAAATATCCTAAGTTAATTTATTGCAGGGGAAGGTGGAATGGGAATTTACGCTATGCAGCGTAAATTCCATAAATTACAGAAAAATAATTAATTACAGAATTACAGAAAAACCACCGTGAACTTTATTTTGTGGTACTTACTGGCTGGTTAAGCAGACCAGAAGAGAAGTACAACATCTCAACTCTATAAAGAAGTATTAGAATACACTCAATGACACTACAAGAAATCTTAAAAACAGACGATGATTTTTGAAAATTATTTTAGCATAAGATGTGGTAATTTACTGCAACAGGTAAGATATAAACCACAGCATATTCCGTTTTTCTAATACTTTACTGCCCAAATGACACATAAGCTTGGGAGGCTAGTCATTGGGAGGTGGAGATGGGAGTGGAGTGGTGTTTAAAAAAATAAATTACATATACCACTCACTCTATATTTCAAAACATGGGTTTTGCATACACCTGTCAGTTAAATAAAAAGTATTATATCACTTAGGCTTACCCTAGCTGATAGAATTTACCAACACATGATGCAGTGCTTCTTTCTCCTTTGTTGAATTGGCTATAGTCTGAGTAAATTCAATCATACTAAAAAAGCAATTAAAAAAAAAAAATCCATAAAAATCACTATCTCTGACTGGAGGCTTGCCCATAAGATAAGGATAGGTTTCCTTGAAACGAAAGGCAATGACATGTATTCTTCATATTGGTAAGTATTTGGTATAGTGTACAAGCAGATGGCAGAGTACCATCTCCTTTTTTTCTTAACTTGTCTGTGGTACAAAGCTGGTAAGAAAGGCCATACGAAGTTTTAAAATCCTGATCTCCAATAAAAAGTGATGATAAATACTTGTTTACTTTTAAATAGAAAATTACTTAAGGTGCATTTAAGGTTTGAATCAAGTCAAAGTTCAAAGACTGCTCAGTTACATGCTATTGTGAAAACCACTACTCAATTTCCCAAGTAACTATTGCTACAAAAAAAGAATCACGATGAAATGAAACTATTAATTTTGACTTAGCAAGGAACTGTACCTTGTTCTTTTATTTGTCGAATCTGTCTCACAGTTTCTTTTAAAATAGCACATTTGTCTGGTTTGACATTGAAATTGTCAATGTCACTCAGATTAGCAGATATCAGCTCAGCCAGTTCTTCAATGTATTTGCTTTCCTGCTCACGTCGACGCTTCTCACCACTGCAGACCAGACTAGGAATCAAAAACATTGTTTTGTATACTTATATACCATCCTATATCAAACCTGTGCTCACTCCGTGCACAATAATGTACTTCACTTAACACCCACCCATTAAACCTAGGCAGTAGCTATCCTTCCAGCAAACATGAATCTGAAGGGCAAGCATGTGTTTTGTTACGCTGCTGTTTGGTTTGGGGTTTGTGTTTGTGTTTGGTTTGCATATTTTTTAAGAATTTTAAGTACAAATTGATATCAAGAGAATAGAATAAAGCTACTAATAAAAAAAAAAATCCTCCTGTTTTTACTCTTTTACTCTACTGTCAGATTTAATGAAAAGAGCAGCTGCTTTTGTTATAAAATTGTAGCACTCATACAGAAAGTATATTTTAATCTTAGAAGTTGCTTTACAGTTGCTTAAAATTTACTAGACAAACAAAACTAAATTTTAGTGTTCTACTAACTCACTTCAGTTTGATTGTAAAGACATGATTATAGAAGGTGATAACGTCATAAATTTCTAGGCATCAGGGCCTAAATGCCATCTCAACATGCAAGAAAAGCAGAATCCCAGACAACTTAATGTTGCTGGATAAAATGTCTCTCTCAAACTCCTTTTCCTACCCAGGCTAATGTGCTGAGTAAAGAGACTGTCTACAATTTAAACCAACAGGGAGAAATGTCATACACAATATGGCAAGAACAGGAAAAGAAGGACTCAGGGCAGGGGTAAGAATGGATACATCAAGGTAATTGAAAGAGAATAATCACTCTTTGAGAAGAAACCAAGAGAAGGAGTTATGAAAGCATGCATGGACCAACACTGGAGAAAACAAACATATGACAAAGCAAGAGCTTGAAAGATAAAGAAAGCTAATGAAAATTGACAATCTGAAAAAGAACTCCTGTATGACAGACACTGCAGAAAGGGAAAGAGAAAATGGAATAGCGGACACTCATAAAAAGACACTGGGATACACTGGAAGCATTTAACGTTCTAATACATGATGTATTATAATGATGAAGGCGATTGGCATGAGGCACTGGCGATGTATATATAAAAGGGACAAATATTAGTACACATAATGCCTGACAACGAATTTAATACAAGTTAATACTCTACAGGGGAAGAAGAAACATGAAAAGATAAAAGAAACTTCACATGGTGGAGAGCAATGAAGCTTGTGGGAAACAGAAAACTGAGTCCCTCAGACAACAGTATCTGAGAGAGTTGGGCGAGAGGCGGGAAGATAGCCAGATAGATTGCCAAAATTTAAGATGGAATTAAAAGAAATGGAAGTAGAAACAAACCAGCAAAAAAGCTCAACCTCTTGTAGTATTCTTTGACAAATGTAACCTCCTGAAATGAGGCCTGTCAAATCGATTACCAGATATGAGATGATGCCTTTAAAATTCCTGTGAAGCAAGAGGTTTTTCTTCTTTGGCCCTGCAAGCACAACTTCAAAAGGGATTCCTTATCTAATGGAAAGTATCCCTTCCCATGACAGGGAAACTGGAACTAGATGATCTTTAAGGTCCATTAAGGTCCAATTCAGTCCATTCTATAATATGTCCACTGTAATAAAATTTCCACAGGAGTCTAATTATAAAGCACAGTTCATCAACTACACCTAATAATAAAGTTACCTATCTTCACAACAGAAGCTGGCCTAGAGAGCTTTTCAACTAAACAAATTCCTTAGTTAGAACTTACTCTAAATTGCAATGCAAATTTGAAAAGTATTTTTAAAAACTCATTAACAATCAGTTAAGTTCTATACAAACGTACCTTGCACCCGGTGTATCACAGGGCAATGGCTTGCGCTTCCTTGACTCATTAGTCAAACTGTCTAAGGAGTTTTCTCCTAAACCACTCATCTTGACCTTGCATCAGCAGCTAAAAGCAATGACATAATAGTTGTGAATAAAATGCTCAAAATACTAATTCAAAATACAGAGAACTTATCCAGATAAGTAATTGAATTTTATCAGATTTACAAGTGAGTTTTTTTAATGCAAATCCATAAACTTTTTTGCTACTAAAAAATAATGTTTGTTTATCTTTCTTTAAAATCCACCCTTTATTTAGCCAACACAGGTTATTAAAGCTTTCTATCACTCTAAGCAAAAGTAAAGGTTAAAAATGCCTTTAATTTTTTTCAGATATATTTAAAATTTCCACCATTAAACTGGGACCACTGCACAGCTCCAATTCGTCTAAAAAACGAAAATTCTCAGTATTTAAACATATATTTAGATAATCTGAAAAGAAAGCAATAAATTAATGTTATACCAAAACACAGTTGCAGAAAAAAATAATTTTCGTCCTTAGGAATGTATCAGGGGGCTTACAGGAGTTTCATACTCATCTCTGCATAAAGCCAACAGATTACTATTACCATCTTCACAGATTACTATAGTTTTCACATCTCTTGCTAAATCTTCCAAAATCCATACAGTTTTCTAAAACTTTGAGGCCAAGGCAAGCAAAGACTTCAACCGTCTTTCATTTCTATTGCTTCTGCAGCAAAGACTGGCCATAACCCAGGAAAATATCAGGTGATTTTGTTGAAGTCTAGTTACACTAAACAGACCTGGCAGATTATATATGACACTCACCTCCCCTCAGTCCCAAGAGAATAAAGGAGCACAGACACAGACAAGAGAAGAAAGCCATGTGAGGTCCTGCTATGCTAGGATCAACAACACACTGAGGCAGGAAAAAAATTTAATGGATGTATGCTATGTATCTAGTTGCAGTATTTTAGAATACAACTAGAACTATAAAGCAATCTAATTAACTGACAGTTAATTAACTACCTAATTAACTGACAGTTAATTAGACAGATAATTAGATAGTTTTGGTATTTTTACTTTTTTACTGACTTTTTTGTCAGAAATTAAGGCAGTTTCTAACTAGGCTGTTAGAAATGAAGCACTATTTTATCCCTTTTACAGAAATTTCCAAATTAAGTGTAAATTTAATTTATTGCATTCTAGTTCAGAGTGCAGTTCTTTAGCCTGTACAGCAGCGGCAATAAATGGTGCTAAATATTTAGTTAATAGAGTTAGTCTTGTCAGTTAGGGAGAACCTTTTTCCATAACATAATCCAAGCACGAAGAAATCTTTCACAGAAAAAGTTCTTTGTCTCCACAAGCAAAAACTACCATTATGACAATTGTTAAAAGAAACTGGTCTAGGATAACCAAATTCCTAGGAGTCAGTGATAAGGTATCATAAGGATACGGAACCGATAGAACTAAATGAAGTTTATGTTAAGGTATCAGAGGCTGGTGGCCAACTGGCTCAAGCTCTGCAGAACAGAATATGAGCAACCTGTTGAACAAGATGTTAGTTAAATACAAGTCAGCAGTGTATACTTGCATCAAAGACAACCAGCCCCTCAGAAAGGGTACCCAATCAACTAACTGCTTCCAGGACAAGATATGTAAGGGAAAAAAAAAAAAAAAAAAAGAGAGAGAGAGAAGTGTGTGTATTACTTTTGAGAAGTGTGTGTAATACTTTTTGTGTTATTTGACTGACTGAATTTTTGCTTATTGGCTTCTTGTCGGCAGGGGGGAGGATATCTGCTGTAGTTTTTTTCTGAAGTCTAACCTAAAAGGACAAAGACACACAAGAACAGATTTGCATGAAGCAGCATAGAGGTTTTTAATTCTACGTGGGGAGAATTTAAAAGAACATTCTTCCTACAGCAGTACAAAATTTTGAAATCTAGACAGGACAAAGGACTGGATTACTCTAGCACGTGTATATAGCCCAGAAATAAAATGGCACCTTTTTAAAGTACAAATTCTCTTTGCAGCTAATAAAATGTTACAATGCTTAACATAAAAGCAATATGTAAACACAAAATCCTATCATAACCAATCCTCATGCCAATCAATATACATTACAAAAGGAAGGATAACATGATTTTAAAATGACAACAGAATTAAACCCAACAATCAAACACAATCTTCCATTTGAAATAAACAATTACAAATGATGCCTAACTCTGTACTGTGGGCATGAACTGTACAGATAAGAACTTGGTCTTACATGTAAATATTTGCTAAAGAAACAGGATGAATAAGAGAAACCCACCAGAGAGATGGAAGAGCAAGTCTGAAGACTGCTGTCCATTCATATATTCCTCCAGGGCAAAAAAATCGCAAATACATCCGTAGTGGCCTACTTTACATAGAGTTCCAGAAAAATACACTATTAGGCCACTAGATGCCAGTACAGAACTAGACAACCGCAGGGATCCTATTTCCTTCAATTAGCGTCATTCAGCTGAATGAAAAACAACTCATCTGAACGAGTAAGCACTTGAAAAAAAGAGACTATAAAAACAGCAAAAAAGCAGTTGATTATCTGAAGCTTATACTCAGCATTACATATAACTCAAGGTCTTATGTCTACAGACCTCACAGCTGAGGCTGCATCTTCAGGCATGCTATAGGTGACACCTGCACGCACTTCCAGGACTGTTGCTTCCCTCCCTGCAACTACATTTACAGGCTGAGTACAGTCAGAGCTGAAGGTTTAAGAGCTAACGTGGAAAGAGAAAGGAAGAGCTTAAAATGCAAGTCAAGGCTAACTCAGAAAGGATGTGGACAGAGCAAGTATGTCTGAATTCAAGAGTAAATTCTGTTTAAGTGAAGGAAGCATTTGAAACGTATTAAGCAGTTGAAAATTTGAGCTAGGATAGACATTTCACTATAACAATTTTGAAGGTTACATGGTTGTTTTAAATTATTTAGAATAGAAATGTCATTTCTGTTTTAATGTCTACTTGTAATGAGAGATAACTTACAATGTAATTAAATAGAAAACCAAAAATTACTACAATTTGTCTCAGAAACATGATAAGTATAGGAGCTTGGACAAGGAAGGAAAAAACAGTAATTCGCATAGGCTGTTTCCCTACTCTTACACCCAAGTAGCTGGTGGTAGTTTATTCAGGCCTGAAGCTGCAGAGTTGCTGCACATGCATTTTCCTTTCGCTAGGAATATCGTTGCAAGCTGCGCAGGCAGGTCATGCCTAGAACAACTCTGTAACTGTTTAGCCAAGGAAATTACAGAAGCTGCTTCCCAATACAGATGGATTTACAGAGACAAATTATTAACAGTCAAACTAATTTCCCAGCTACAGGAAGTATTTGCAGAAGAAGCAATTTCTTTCATTATTAACTCCTCAGTGACTTAATGAAAGAAATCACCAGTTTTGAAACTACCAGATGTCATATTTCTTTACTGAAGTTGAACCTGTAATTTCTAATGGGCTAAAAAGTTTTTCCAAAAGGAAGGCTATTTTGGGGGTTTTGGAAGTTTTCCTGAAGTTAATTATTTCAAAAGACAGCTCTGAAACACAGGCTTCAAAAGTTGAAACTTTTATGCATTTTTACTACTAAAAGCAAAAAAAAACAAAAAAAAACAAAAAAAAACCAAAAAAAACCCAAAAAAAAACAAACAAAAAAAAAAACCCAATCTTTGTAAACTTACTTTCTGAGCTAAGAGGCAACAACACTATTTCTGGCTTATGAACCACTAATGCTGGCTAGAAAGACTTTGCTAGTGATACCACACAATATTATCCACCTAAATGAAGCAATTTTAAAAGAAAAGAATTAGAGTGAAATTCTTTATGTTATTTGCATGATTAAAATAAATCTAAAAGCTAGCTTAATTTGACTGAATAGCTCAGTTACTACATAAAACTAGGCAAATGAAAGAAATTCTATTAAATTTTACATCAGTATAAATACCCAAAAACAAAGTCTTCAAAGCAAGGCACCGTTTAATTCTATTGATTGTAGCACTAATGAACCACTATATCATGATGCTCCTAATCCCACCAGTGGAATGGAACTGAAGGCAGCAATATTTGGAGAAAAAGTTCCAAACTTTCACAATTATTTGCAACATCTTCGCATGTATAATCTTAAATTTTCCAACATTCTTCTCAATTCAAGAAAACAGAAAATAAGAAAAATCTTCTTGCACCGCAGTAACTGGTGAAAAAACACTAGTCCTTATTATTAAGGTGCTCATGCCTATACCCTCTGCAATGTACCCTACACTTTTCATATGCCAGTTCTATTCACTTCTCAGTGAAAAGCATAAATGAGTTGTTAAAAAGGTACTGGGTTTTGCGCACAGCAGATCAAATAAGTTCAGTAATTACGAATCAATCTCTTGCAACAGCGTATGTATGGCCTTCCAAACAAAACTATAGATTTTAAAGAAATCATGAGTGTTTGTCCAGCCTGCCACGGTTTCATTATTTTGACAGGGTAAAATCCATTTTCTTCTAAAATTCCACCCTGGAATAACAAGAAAACAATGCACATGCCAGCAATACAGTATGTTTGCAATGGGGAACGTTCCTTAGCCATTTCCTACAGAGCATTCAAGCCAAAATGATGTCGAAATTACTAAGCACAGTAAGCAGAAAGTTTTCAGTTTGATACAACTATTTATTCCCTCATCTCACTTAACTCACCCCCAAAGAATTTGGAAAGCTGCTAACTTAATATCCCTTAGATACGTTTCTGCTATCTTGTCTTTCAATGCACTCATTTTCTTGTCCAGCTCAAGAGTAACTTCCTTGTGCCTCTGCTCTCAGTAGCTGGTAGATGAAAGACCTATCCAGCAAATAGGACATGGCAAGTGAGACGGTTTTGTCCTAGCAGGGGGCCAAAAATACAAACAATTACATGCTTCAGATTTAGTTTTTTATATCTGTTTCACTGAAACAGTTGACTACCCTCCAAAATGCACAACTATACAATACTAATTTAAAACATATCCAAAACATTTTCTTGAATCATGTTTTTTTGCATGAAAACATTTTAAATACTTTGTTGGTCCCACGAAACCACCAAGTTTTTCCTATATTAAGTATGTGTTCTTGTGGTATTTTGCATCCTTGGAAGCTCTTCTGTCTGAGCTGATTTCTTGTTTTAGAAATTGACTAAGCAGAACTTAGCATTACTCAAAATAAGCCAGTTACAAGTAATTAAACCAAACAAGTCCATTTCAATGAATCATGAGCATGCCCTGGAATTTTATATAATGTTACCATATTAAATAGAATCCTCACTCCTAAAAAGCAATATTGAAATTTTGATAATAAATAAAACTACAGGATATTCCATTCTGCAACTCTGTATAGTTAGTGGAAATTTGTTATTTCAACATTGTATCTCCCTCAAATACGGATTAAAAGTATTGAAACTTCTGATTCAAAATATTCTTGATATTCTGCAGAGATTCTTTTGCCCTAAGACTGACCACAGAAACAACTGATGTTTCCACTTACATAGACAGGAATCCACAAGAATATAAGCAGCAATTTCACTTTCTGGCAGTGGTGCAGTAAGGCTTTTGGTTAGAGTTGGGTTTTTTCTTCTTTCTTCCCTCCCATCCTTTTCTTTTTTTTGAAGTACATGCTTCTCATATACTAAACTGTAGCTTTAAAAATGTTCAGGTGTATATAATCCAAATATGAGATCAGTCACTTACTAGTCCTTAGCAAACATTCAAGCACTGCATATTTTTCCTGCACAGAGGACCTTCAGAATCAGAACTCATTTTAAGTCACATCCTGGAAAACAAAAATAATATATAGTATGTAACTTCAAGTAACTGTGATCTCTGCTATACGTTCAACAGTAGACCATTCAACTGTTGTCCCTATGTTAAACCCACATGCTCCTCCTCTAAATACAGAGGCATTAGTCAACTTCTTGACATCTTACATTTAAAAAATATTTTAACACTGTGGTCTGTTCCACTTCACATGAATTAGTTTATGTTATTAGGGTGCTTATATCAAAGCACAGCCATGCACTAAGCGCTTGGCATTTGGGGCTGTGCAGTCAGCTTCCCCATCAGATCTCACATCAGTACAACTTTCAACACGTGAGCATATGATTTTCTGTCTAAAGCCTGCTCAATCAAAACCCAAGAGTGCTCAAACAAAAACATCATTCAGCATATTTTGATCTCAATGAGTTCAACATACTGATCTTTGGCTGATTTACCCACTCTCAGGATGAGCTACAAAGATAACCAATTCACACCATGTAGAACCTTAGCATTCAACACAGCCTGGCTACCAAATCCAAGTTTACATAAGGTAGTTTTTTGGATAAAATTTTTAAAAGACATGAAGAAAGATTATTATAATACATTACAGTTTGGATGAGATGGTTAAGTGACAAGTCATATTGTTGCCTGTGGCACAGACAACAACAATATGACAGACACCTAAAGACAGAACACACTACACTGTGTTCAGGTTAAAAATATACCTATATATAATGTGCCAGATATGGTGAACACAATGGTTACTTTTTAAAATAAGACATGAAAAGGGCAGCACTTGCAATCTTCCTTAAATGTTTCAGAGATAATTACTGTGCCTTTTAAAAAAAAGAACCCAGATACAATACACTTTAAATTAGAGTGCATAAGACCAACATACTTTTAAACCTGTGAGGAAGGAACAAATGCAGCAGATAAAAAATGCCAGAGAAGCTTCACTACAGCTTTGTGAATCTGAAAGTGCAATGTAACAAACCACTGAAACAGACACTCACGTACACTGAGTAAATAAAGAGGTTTTCATGTAACTAGTTTATACTAGAAAAAATCTTTCATTACCTTTTAAGATGAAAGCACCCATACATATATTATGAAGCAAACAGGAAATTATATTAGTTGTATTGATACACTACTGTGCTTATCCAGCATTTCTTCCACAATAAGATACTATTCCAAAACACAGGCATTTGATCATTCTCTACTCTTTCTCCCTCCCACATTCCTCCCACAGACAAAAAGATGATTTACTAGGTAATAAATTATTCAGAGACTTCACCGAATCAGGACTTTGAGTTTAAAAAAAAAAAAGTGCCATCTATAATGCCAGTGAAGCACACCTTGTTGCAACACATTACATGTTCTTAATTTCATGCACATTCATTTTATATTATACATTCTACCTCATGGAGACTGATTTTTTAGACCTTGCCAGGTTTCATTTACCAATTCCCCTGCAGTGCTTATGTTTATTAAACACCATGCACTCCTGGGCTATTTCTCAGACACGACAATCAACTTGAACCTTTTTCAATTTGCATGTATTAATATGACAGGACACTTTTAGTTAAGAGATGGTCAGAGGTAGAAGATGCTTGGAGTTCATCTCCTGTTCCTCTGATATATAATGCATGTGATCTATTTTTGGAACATCATTACTTGTTAATTTGTTTCCTATGCATCCAGGTTTGCCAGTCAGATCAACAGATTAAGGACCATGTTAACAGCAAACAAAATGTATGACAGAGAAAAGCAGGGCCCCAGTGAAATTGAAATTAGGTTTCCACAAAACATAGACTAATTTTGCTTTTACAGCCAAGCAAGTTAACATTTTCCTAAAGTGTCACAAAAGCTGCCCTGAAACATCATGAAACCACTAACTGAAGAACACTGTGAAGACACCATGAGTAGCACACTACCTAAAACAGGACCATTAAACAGTATTCATCTTGCTCTGTCATACTGCAATAGCAAGCAACAAAGGAAAATACAACTTGGAATGCTTTGCTTCTAGAAAGATCAGAAATGTGGAGATGTATACCTGAAAAGAAAAAAATTTACGTTTATATTACGTACCAATAAAACAACAAGAAAGCAAAAGAAGGGGTATTTCCTTCAAATAAGCATTACTTAAACAAATGGCACTAACGCGTTAATTATAATTAGTGGTTTGCCACAAAACAACAGAAATCATCATTCCATGTTGTATCAGAGCCCCATTTTACTCAGTACTGAAAAGGGGTTGAATCTAGAAATTCTAGAAATCAGTAGGAAACTAGTAAATACCACAGAATGCTCTTATAAATATATAAACTCTAAGTATTCTCCACTTTAAAAATACAAAACACATTTTAGTACTCTAATAACTTGTCTGATACCATGTGCATACCAAACATGTAAGTGAAATTGTTTTCATCAGTTTTAAATGGTTTTTGCTTTTCCTTAACAGGAAGCCCCCAATGCACTCCCTCTTAAAACCACAAGACTCCAGTCTGTTCCTGTGTGTCATGCTCTGTTATTCACCTTCTGAAAATCTCAAGCATTTATTCTGTCTGCAAACATTCTCTCTGCCTCATATACCAAGCTTCATATTGATCCAATTTTTTTTTTCATTTTCAACTTCATGCTATTTCAAAATATGACTCCTCTGATTTAAATCCTCAGTTCAAATCAATGTCCTGTGCAAGCAATGTTGACACAGGACCCTGGAGGACAGTATTACATATGTGATAGGGAATCAATGTGAAAAACAAAGGAAATCTAAAACAAAGAGACAGATCTGCATTTGGTATTTTAACAGAAGGGTGGGACAAAAAGGGGGAATGACAGCTTTTGAAATAACAAATCACCTAATTAATATTCTACACAAGAAGCTGAAAAATATAAAAATAAGCGTAATTAAAGTTATCAGCATATTGAATATACACTATTTAAATGTATTAATTCAAAATCCCTGCAGTCAGTACTATCAGAAATGTCAGTTTCTTAAGAGCAATACTGAGGACAATTAAACAGTAGGCTGTGACCATTGAGTTTGCAATTCCCCTTCCTCCTCCATTCAGGTAGCCAGGATAACTGTTTTGTTCCCTCTATTTATGATGGAATACACAATGAATAAAAAGCAATATCATTTTTTCCCTATAAGGCATTAGAAATTCTTTCCTCAGATAAGAGGTATTTTGCAACTGTCCATGCTCAGTATGAAAAGCCTTTCTCTAAGACAGAGAAAATTTAGCACTAGAAAAAAAAATTAGATAATCACTTATTTTCCAATTCTCTATCATGTCACAGCTCTGAGGTTTATTAAAGAATGTCTGCAGTTGTCTGGTATAGTGTGCTAGAAATGAAAATATATTTTAGTAGTAATATCCAAAATGAAAAACACTTGTCCTGTATTTTCACAGCATCATCAACAAAAGCATGTGGAGCCAACAAGACAGAAGACATACTGGTTTGCTAGCATATAATTTTTGCTCTGAATTTATTTATATTTGTCAGATCTGTGTTTTCTCTGGACATTCCCTATTTGTACCTTGAGAACAAAAACTGCCTACTTTAAGGACCAGAGCATTAGTACTGCAAGCACCATTGGCTCATGCTTTTCGTTTACTTATCTTGAAGGAAACCATGCCTTTCTAGCTGCCATCTGATTGGAGAGAGTGAAAAATAGGCATTGTGCCATGATTTACCATGAGTAATTTTTGATACCACAAACTGTAAAGTTGACTCCTTCTCTTGTCTAAGTCTTCAGCAGACTATTGTAAGGACAACTATATACCACAAAAAACCAATGCAACAGTTATAGACCACTTCAGCCAATTCTTTTTTTCTTTTCTTGTATCTGTTCAGGAATACTGTCTCTCTACTATTTATAGTAATTTATTGCTTTGATAAATTAGCAGATACGTAATATTGATTATCACAAGCACTATACACACACACACACTCAAGAAACATCAAAAGGGAAGTTTAGAGGAATCAGTTTAAAACTGTGCTGGAAACAAAGCATACTCTTCTAAAAAGACACCAGAGTAATTATCCTGGTCTGCTACTTCAGCAGAAATCAGTAAGCAAAGCTACTGTTTACTGTCCCTGTGGCCTGAGAGAACAAAAAACCTGAGCCTGTAACAGAAGCTAGGAAATAACCTGATTATCAGGGCACATCAACCCACGCTAGCCCACACACATTTACATAGATAATACAACCTACAGAGTTATAAATGCATAAAGATCTTTCAGCTATAGCAGCCAATCCTCATTTTTATCACATTTTTCAAGGAAGTGCAAGTGAAGCACAACTTGCAGCAGGAGGTCTGCTTCACCAAGATCACATCACTTTTCTATCAGAACACTTTTCTTTCTACAAACTGGTTTGTACATTAAAGGAGAAAAAAAAAATTCTCAAACACTGATTCCTGAAAAACAAGACTGTGTGTATGGACATGTGTCCTCAAGGGAATTCACATGTCTTCAGCTTAAAATTTTCTGTGTCTATTCATATTGCATCCTGATGGCATCACAAGAGAACTCAGAAAAAATATTACACTAGCAGGGGAGGTACAAAAATGAATAGATCAAATTTTTTTAAAATGTCTTTCAGTAAGTTGTTGCTATCAACATGCTCTTCAAAAAAGCATTTAAAATCCAGAAATCCAACCCATTATTACTGCAGAAGACCAAGTGTTCACTCATCACTGAAAAGCTGCAACAAGGATGTGGACAGGATAGTTTTGAGACAAACCTATTGAGGAAGAAGCCAAGAAAAAGCCACTTAGTGCATCCCACAATTAAACCATCACACTGCAGGTACTAAGTTTGACCACCAACTGAAACAGATATAAAAGCAGAAAAGACAGATACAATGGTAATGTTTTAAAACCAAACAAAAATCTGAAGTCCAGCTACTACATGTCTACTCTTTTTCAGCATCATTTATGCCAGCATGACAGTGAGGAGCGGATCTAGGGGAAACTGCCAAGCCTTAATAAACCTGCAGAAGTT